ATTTATGGACAAATCGAAATTAAGAGTATGACAAATAAATTGAGTAGCATGGGGCCGTTATATATGTTACGATTCTCCGTTGATCCGAGCTAATGACGAAAATAAGATGTTTGCTTTTGATTATATAGAAAAAATACGATTTCGAAATCTTAGAAGGCTTTATTACGTCATATATAACATTTTAAAGATATATCAACTAGACAAAATCTTAAAGTTTGTTGTGCACTCAAATCATTATTGAACTCTCTTGTTAATTAGAGGGTGTGAGAATATATATAAATATAGTGATGTTTTCGTTTCAGTATACAGTTCGATATAATCAGATCAACTATTTTAAACCTCTTGTGTCTTTGATTATATTTGCTTATAGAACTCTTGATAGAGCTCATCTTTTGAGAATATTATTTTTAATGTCTTTCGCCTTAAAATAGTGTCAGCATTAAATCAACAGCTCTCTGGTCCTTATATTATGTTCCGCATTATTATGGCTCAATGGGCAATTTGCGTCTGAAGATTGTCTTGTGCAAGCTATTTTCGCCAACAGTTGAGGGGCCATTACAATAAGGAGGGAAAAAACAAACTCATCTTTTAAGAAGTCACTTTCTTTGGTTAGCAGCTAACATGGCAATGTCGATCCAACAGCCTCCGCATATCAGCTTTAGTATCGAAAAGAGTTTAATTAAAAACAATAGTAATGGTTGGTTGGCTTATTGTATTTGTTTTTTTTTTGGATTCTTTCACTTAAATATGCCAAAATCAATGCTCAATCTGGCTTAGTTTATCCTTATCCGAGAAATTACGACAATGACAATCTAACCGAAAAATTATCTGCAATGCTGAGCTTGCTGGGGAGATTATAGAACATGAAATGTTTCTCAATTCTTATTTAAGGGATTAACATATAAATGGACTAACAGTGTAAAGAAATTTTACATTAGTATTGTGATTTAATATCTTGTAGCAAGTTATCAGTCTAATTTTCAGACAACTCTACTTATTATAGGAAGTTATTATAATTATCATTTACATGACGTGACAGTGTAGACAGTCAACTTTGGTTGGAGCTAAACGACTATGTAAAATTAACACAAAGGTGATGTCACAATCCTAAAACCAACCTGGACGTGATGGCGCCTATCATGGAACTAGGCCAGCCGACACATTCCCAAAACAGTTCAACATTTCATTAAAAACTTAATAACAACCTTTTTCAACTGAATTTCCATATAAGATATAAAATCGAAAACCAAAATGCAGAAAATAAAAGCCCGACTTCGGGTGTCACTAAGTCATGAGCAATACTACAATTGTTCCGAAACATAACAAGACCAAAATAGTCTGGAAGTAGCAAAATATATACTAGAAGGAAGATAAAGAAAGAGAAAGGCGGGACTGTGAACGTCAGGCAGCTACCTCGCTATCTTCGGTGAAATCTGCGTCTGGAATAGTCACAGCCGCTACCGTGGCCTGAGATACCTGGATCTGCACACAAGGTGCAGGGGGTAACGTGAGTACACCAACTTAGTAAGTAACAAGTCCAAACTATGGACTGACAGGTAGTGACGAACTAAACCTCAACAGGTAAACACAATTAAGCTGTACAGTAAAGTAGGCATGCTTGTAGTTCAAGTATTTAGCTCAACAGTAAGTAAATACAAATCTGAACAATGTGAAATATAAAGCTCAGCAAATCTCTACGTACCAATGTACAGAAAGCATGAAAATGTACCATGTACCTCCGCTCTCAAGTGCTCAACCACTCGGTACTGTATATGGCCATCCGGCCCAGGAAAGATCCATCCCGGAATACATACACAACAATGACAGCAGTCACCCAGTACCGAGGAAAGTCATTCCAGCCCTATGGAGAAGATCCATCTCCAAGTATAAGTACTTCAGACAAGATCCATGTCCAGGGAAGATCTATCCTTCAATAATATCAACCGCGCTCACTGGAGGTGTGTAGTCTCCGGAGGGGCTCCTTGTAGCCCAAGCGCTATAACAAGCCAACGAAGGCATAATCAATAATCTGCTGCGGCGTGCAGCCCGATCCCATAACTGTCACTCATAACCAGGCTCTCGGCCTCACTCAGTCATCACTCTCCAGTCTCACACACACGGGCTCACAATGCTATAATACTAGCCCGAAACAATGATATGATGTGCCAAATGATAACAAATGAGACTGAGATATAATATGATATGCATGAAAAAGACTGAGTACATAGTATCAATGAAACTAATGAGATGACAGCAAGAAACGACCACTCGAGTCTCAACAGTATTGGCATGAAGCCCTAACATGATAATTAGCATGATTTACAGTTTCTTTTTACCTAATCACATAATCACAACACAGATATCAGCAAGAACGAGTCACTAAGCGGTGCCATAGAATGAACCAGGCCACAATTCTCACGGTGCACGCCCACACGCCGGTCACTTGGCATTTGCGTCACCTCAATACGAATCATGTAACACAGTGTTCGAGGTTTCGGACCCTCAGAACCAAGTTTGGAAGCGTTACTTACCTCAGACCAAGCCAAATCCTACTCCGCTACGCCTTTGCCTCTGGAATCGGCCTCCGAACGTCCGGAATCTAACCAAAAGCAATATAATGCAATCAATATAGGCCAACGAATCAATTCCAAACAAAAAACTATCAATTCAAACCAAAATCCCGAAATTCGGCCAAACCCGGCCCCCAGGCCCATGGCTCGGAATCCGACAAAAATTACAAAACTAGAAACTCCTTTCACTCGCGAGTCTATACATACCAAAATCATCAAAATCGGACCTCAATTGCTCCCTCAAATCCTCAATCAAAACTCTCCAAAACTCAAGCCCTAACCCCTTCAACTTCTCTCCAAATTCCCACTAAATTCCATGATGAAACAGTGGAAAAATCATCACAAACACAAATAATAAAGCCCAAGTAACTTAGCTCACTGATACCCCTCGATTCCCTCTTGAAATCACTGCTCTAAGCTCCAAACTCGTCTAAAAATGGTGAAGAATGGGCAAGAATTCGCGAATGGTGGCTTTTATAGTTTCTGCCTAGGAGACTCGCACCTGCGGTCCAAATGAGCGCACCTGCGCTATCGCATCCGCGGTCCATCAAGCGCACATGCGGATTCCACTTACCCGCAAACTTCCGTATCTGCGGCTACCCACTCGCACCTGCGGCCTCGCTGGTGCGATAAAACCACTGCATATGCGATCAAGCTCCAACTGGTCCAAAACCGCATCTGCGGCCTTCCTCACGCATCTGCGACCTCGCACATGCGGTCCCCAATCCGCAGGTGCGGAAATGACAGAAGCATCAGCTTCAGCTGCTCAAACCAAGTTTCAATATTTCCGTTAACCATCCGAACTCATCCCGAGGCCCTTGGGACCTCAACCAAAAATACCAACAAGTCATATACTACTATCCAAACTTATTCAAACCTTCGGAACACTCCAAACAACATCAAAACACCAAATTACCCTCGGATTCAAGCCTAAGAACTTCTAAACTTTCGAATTCCGCAAACGATGCCGAAACCCATCAAACCCCGTCCGAATGACCTAAAATTTTGCACACAGGTCACAAATGACACTACAGACCTACTTCAATTTCTGGAATTTCATTCCTACCTCGATATCAAGATTTCCACTGCCGACCGAAAAAGGCCAAATTTCCAATTTCGCCAATTCAAGCCTAATTCTACCACGAACCTCCAAATTACATTCCGAACACGCTCCTAAGTCCAGAATCACCTAACAGAGCTATCCAAACCGTCAGAATTCACATCCGAGATCTTCTACACATAAATCAACATCCGGTTGACTTTTCCAACTTAAGCTTCTAAATAAGAGACTAAGTGTCTCATTCCACTCCATGACCACTCCGAACCCGAACCAACCAACACGATATGATGAAATACAGAACACATAAAGAAGCAGAAATGGGGAAAACGGGGCTATAACTCATGAAACGACCGGCCAGGTCGTTACAGGTGAATGAACTCATTGTATCTTTAAAATAGCATATAAACTATTTTCATGGAACAGAGTTTTACTGAGTAAATGAGCTGGAAATTATTGAGAGGTATTAATATTTTAAAATGAAAATAGAAGTCCAACAAATTGGAGCAATCTTGAGCTAATCAATAGCCCCAATGGCCAAGTTGACAAGGTAACCAGGCTCCGTAGCTCCAAACATGAACAAGTCCAACTTCAAAGTAGTGGTCCATCAAGACGGTAAGCTGTCTACTATTGATGATAAGGGACTCCTTTATTTCTAGTATCTTTTCTTTTTAAATTTTAAGGGCCCAAAATGATGAAAAACTTCTCAAACTTCTTTTCCTATTGTATGCAACTATGAGGGTTCTTACAAATATTATTATAGATAGTTTTTTTTTAAGAAGACATACATGGTAAGCATTAGATCACTAAAAGTAAAACATTAAAATCTTTTATAAGTTCATTTTCTTCTGTTCAAATTTTAATTGATTATGAGAGATCATTTCGCCCTTCGATGGAGCACCTCCAATGTAATCAGAACCTTGAATCTAAGCAGAGAATAGCGCAAGTTTGCCCAGTTTACTAATTAGTCCATTTTCATATGACAATGAGCCGAGCACAAATTTACAGATGGATCAATTCAACTTTACACGCACGTAGTCGCTATGATCAGCAACAGTAACAAATTGCTAAGCATAATTTATCATCCCTATTTTACTCCAAATGCACTCGAACAAGGAATACAAGAGGTGATCTTCGCAAAACTGTAACATCAAATATTCCATAAAGAAGAAAAAGATTATGAATATATATATTTATATATATGTGCAGATCAAAGATAGAGCTCACTTATAACAAAATTGTGAGGCCTCATTCTCGTTATGAAAAAAATACAACCTGAGCTTATAACAAATTAATGTCAAGAATTAGTCTCGTGAAGATCTACATCTTGAATCATTGGTATATAAATCCTCCTACATGTTAGCATTAATAGATCATTTGCAAGGAGAATCAGCTGTCCGGTGCAAGAGCATAGATCTACAAAGAGGGCAAGTGAATTGTCCCCTTTCCACCCATCTCTCAATACACTCCATGTGAAATACATGCTTACACCTCGATAATTCACAAACCACATTTTCTTTCTCATACTCCATCAAACAAATGGAGCAACTTTCCTCTACTTCCCCGTCGTCGATGCTGCTCCGGCCCTGAACATCGGCGAATCTACTGGCCGGAAGTTTCAGGTCACAGCAGGTTGGAACATAGATAGCTGCTTCATTGACTGGCCGAGGATATGGATAATACATTAGAAAATCCAACATCTTTTGCATGAATTGTTGTATTTGGCAGAATGGAATCCACAGACAAGTGTAGATTACGATTGTAATAACCGATATATGTGATTGTGCTGTTACTACTGAGCTTATCATTTTTCTCACTCTCTTTCTATCTTTTCAAAATTTTCTCTTGGATTTTTTTTTTCCTCCTTTTCTCTGTTGAATATGAGACGATGAAACAGAAGAAACGAGATGATCTATTTATATAGAGAAATGGATTATAATGTCAACTGCCATAACTTGGCATTGCAGTTATGTAATTAAGGGTTGACATTGACTTTTGGAGGTCGTGGGAGCAAAAACACAAGTTAATTAAGAATTTATTAGTCTAGAGTTTACATAGGTTTTTGTCAAATATTATTAATATGGTACTATTATGATTATTATATCTGGGTTTAATATTAAAAAGGTACTAAGGACGGCGCCGACCCTACACGTACCCCAATGTTTGTAATTTGTAAATGTCAGAGCAAATCTGATAGTCACGCTACACAAGTCGATGAATTCTAATTAGCGGTGTTCCTGGCAATTATTTGGGCAGTGATCTGCTAATTACTAGGCGAAAATTGTGCGATTAAGCGCGCATACCTCACAATTAATTAGACAAATCCTAAGTCCTAACATTGGTTCGAATTATTTTACTCAATATCAAATCAAATCAAACCAAACCTAGTCGGATTTTTTAATCGGTTTGGTTTGACTTTTCATTTTGGTACGATTTTCCGTTTCGATTTATACACCCCTAAGTACTGCATGATATTTTCTTTGTAAATATTTTTCTATAAGAAACTTTAAATGGGGCAAATTCTAGCATTAGCTACTTAATTCAGGCAAAAATCGAAGGTTTACATAATCACATGATGTTGATCACCATCATGTATTATTCCAATCCATATTATTTGTCTCTTAAATCTTTTGCACACCAAAAAAAAATACTAGTAGTCATAATCATATATAAGAAAATTTTTTAATTATCATTTTTGTCTCTCTTTCATAAGCGTCTCATTGCTACTTGGAGGCTGGAGCAATTAGGTGAATTTGAAGAAAAAAAAAAGACTTTTTAAAAATATTTTAAAACATACTCTTCAATTTGTTAAAATGGTCAATATTTACGATGGACTAGAGTAATACTTCCTTTACGAGTTCCTTCTATTTGTAGGAGAAAAATTCATAGTGAAAGCGAAACGAATACCTTATAAAGAAGGAATACAAAAAACACAAACTTAATTAGGCCTTCTCTAGTCACTTGATTTGAGATTATATTTGCCGAAAGAAAATAACAACTAAGGAAGCTCCTTATGGTGTATCGAAACATCCGCCGGGCTATTGGGCATTTTCATTAATTATTTAAGATTATATTTGCTAATTAAAAATAAATAATTCATTAGAAAAAATCTTTGTGAAAAGATTTGGTTCTTCAAGTCAACTAATAATTTTTCCATTTGGTTATTCAAATAAAAGCTAATTTGACTTCTGGAGGATAGACTTCTCGTTTCTCTATAAAAAGAAAATTAAAGGATAATGGCTGACAAATTTGAGGAGAAAAAAATAATGTGAAGGACCTTTAGAGAAGTAGAGGGTTAGTTGTTTGAAAGATGTAAAGTCGTGTTCTTTGTTTTTGTATTTTTCAGGGGCAAGGTCGTGCTCTGCATGGCTTTCAAAATTTTATCAAAGCCACGCCAAACCAGTGAGTTCTATTGAGGAAAAAAATGATTAAAAAATTAGTTCTTGTAATATACATCTAAAATACGTTGACTTTTGTTGTTGTTCTAGATAGACCTAAATCAATAAAAGAAAATATTTCGACCAGCTGCAATTTGAATAATTACAATATATCTGATAGTCGAGTTGTACGCAAGTTAATTCAGACATCACGAGATCCAAAAAAAAATTGATGTATTTATTAGTAATAAATAGATAAAGTGTGGCTCAACTAATAAAAATTGAGACAGAGAATTGTTAAGCATAAAGAGTTATCCTACAAAATTATGAAAACAAACTGGGGAAGCTTTTTATTTAATTTGGACAATTAGATTAATTAATATCATTAAGCTATATTTGCCAGCTAAAGACATACTATAATTCATCTGAATGATGAGAAAATCTTTGTAAAAAGATTTGCATCTTCAGGTCAACTGATAGTTTTTCATTATTAAGAGCTAATTTGACTCTGGGAGATGGACTCTTAGGTCAAGTCACGAAATGGAGGAGAATGGCTCACAATTTTTAGGAAAATTTAAAAATAAAGGATAAGAAAAAGGACTGTAGGAGAAGCGCAGAAGTTGTTTTAAGAGGAAAATCGTATTCTCCGTTTGATTCTCTTTATTTTCCAAGCGAGGGTCGTGCTCTGCATTTTCATTATTTTAAAAAATTTCATCGTTTTTGTGCTCTAAGTGGCTTTTAAAATACTCTTTTGAAGAAGAAAAGGAAAGCCAAAACAACACAGTTTATGCTTAGAAACACAGTTTGGCTTCTTATTTTGTGCTCTACGTGGCTTTTGAAATACTATTTTGAAGAAGAATAAGAAAAGTCAATACACAGATTTTATGCTCAGAAACAAAAATAAATGGGCGAGCTACCTTCGCCAGACATTTCTTGGTGCTCCAGATAGACAGGATAGCTCGTATCGCCCAAACGGACATGCGATTGAGAGTGTATAAACTATCTTAAGTATGGGCGTGTCTAGCGAATAACATAGAGGGTCATTGGAACTCAATAGTTATGGCTTTCTTAAATACGTACTAAAAAATTCACTAATTATAAGCATAAACAATAAATTTCGAACTTAATAAATTAAATGGACAATGATAGAATCACAAACTCGAACCTATAGTGTTCAAATTTTGAGTCCGCCTCTTTCTTGAGTATATATCTTCAGCCGGTGTCGTTGTGGCCTTATTTTTGTTCGAGTTTTTCAGTTTCCGTAAGTTTATGTATATCAAAGTCGGAAGCTTTGCTACCGGACAAATGCATGAGATGCCTAAGTTAACCTGAAGAATATTGAAGCTATATAGGCTTGCATTAATGATTTAAGATATCTTGCAAAACAAACCTATATCTTGGTATTCCTTTTAGCCCAAAAATCCTTGTGTGTCCAGGGTTGGGTGTAGGAATTTTTTTGTTTTTTGGGTCAAATTCAAAGAGCGAGCATACCCAATACCCAAGTAAAAATTGCACGGGGCGCCCAAATAGGGCGCCCCTTTTTAACTTGTAGCCGCTTTGTCTTTTTGTTTGCATCCGTACCCACTTTTTAAAAAACTTCAGCTTCCCTTTATAACTGGGAAACTTCAGTTCTAGAGCTGAAGTTTTTATTTTATAACTAGCAAACTTCAGCTCTAGAACTGAAGTTTTTATTTTATAACTAGCAAACTTCAGCTCTAGAGCTGAAATTTTCGGGTTACTAAACAAAAACTTCAGCTCTAGAGCTGAAGTTTTTATTTTATAACTTGAAAGTTTCAGCTCTAGAGCTGAAGTTTTCCAGCTGAAGTTTTTATTTTTTAACCCGGAAACTTCAGCTCTTACTAAACAAAAACTTCAGCTCTAAAGCTGAAGTTTTTATTTTTTAACTGGAAAACTTCTTTATAACTTGAAAACTTCAGCTCTAGAGCTGAAGTTTCAGGGTTACTAAACAAAAACTTCAACTCTAAAGCTGAAGTTTTTATTTTATAACTGACAAACTTCAGCTCTAGAGCTGAAGTTTCCCGGTTACTAAACAAAAACTTATAAAATAAAACTTCAGCTCTAGAGCTGAAGTTTTTATTTTATAACTGGCAAACTTCAGCTCTAGAGCTGAAGTTCGCGAGTTAAAAAAAAAAAAAACTTCAGCTCTAGAGCTGAACTTCAGGCCCGGCTACTAAAATGCTGAAGTTTTGTGTAATTGCCTTTGCTACTTCAGCCCCGTGTGCTGAAGTTATGTGAAAAAGCGGGTATGCTTGCAAATTTTTTTGCAAAGCGGGTACAGGTTAAAATGTGACACAAAAAACGAGTATAGATGCAAATGCCTCATTACAATCAAGGCCAACTTAGTTTCAAAGTTATAAGCTCGCTATACCTGCTTGGCCCATCCACTGTTCAATTTCTTTTGAGATATATATGTTTGACAAAATTTACACCTTATGGATTCCCACAGGCTCCAGGGTTGCTTATCATGGGCTTTCATATAGGACTTGCATTTATCAATGGGAAGTTTACATAACTACAACTTTTTAGATAGTATATTTCATCATTTGCAACTAGCTATTGATTTACATATTATACAACATTATTATCTTTATTTTATATAATTAATATATATTTAAATTAAAAGAATTTCTCTCTACGGACATTATTCAACCTATACTAAATGAAGATTCCAAAATTGTAGCAGAATTTAATAGAATTCTTAACATTCCCTAAGTTTAAGCTTAAGCAAATCGACTGCAATACAAAAACAATCAAATTTTCCTAAAATATCTCTAAATCCCTAAAATTAAGCCAAAATATAATATAGGAGTCAATTATAATAAAAGTATGAAATCTGTTATAGCATATTTATCTTATACTATTATATTATGTTTGTATAATCTATACAATATACTATATAATGTATATATGAAATCTGTTATAGTATATTCATTGTATACTAATATATAAGTATTTAAATATATTAATTAATATATTATTCGAGGTATATTTATTTCTTGTATAGATTAATTTAATGTATAGAAGAAATACAGTATATTCTATATATATATATATATATATATATATATATATATATATATATATATATATATATATATATAAGGAATAATATAACACACACGCGCGCTTGCACACATATATGCGCATATATGTGTATATATGTTATACTATATCCACCGTATACTAAATATGTAATAATTAATATACCATTGATTACTAATATAATATATGGGTATTGATTTTGAGTATATTAATATTAGAATATTTTATATTTATTAAAAATATATGTAATACAGTTCTTAACAAATAATAACGGTATTTAAAATATAATATTAGAAAGTTAATGGTCTACACGGATTAGGTGAGAGAGAACTGTGAGATTATTTTATATTTAAGGGATTACGTGTTAGTTGGCATAATCCCTATTTTCAAGTCCCATAATGAGATATTTTAGGCATATTTAAAGTTGTATCTAATTTAATTAAAAAGTGAAAAAGTTGTACTGAATTGAATATAAAGTAATTTTTTAAAAGTGGTTGTATTTCTTATAAATAACTCTTTGTACCAAAATAATGACATGTAAATTTTATCAAGCTCCAAGATTGCTTATCTATGACATGTATTGTTAACAGCAAATTTTAATAGATATAAAATTTATGACTTATTTAAGATTAAAAGTTCCAAAAGTCTTTCATTCTTAACTTCGTACATCACATAAATTAAAATGAAGTAATAGCTAACTTCTTTTTTCCATATTAAAAGTTGGCCTCAAAAGTGTAATATTCTTTGCGTTTTTCATTATTTTTTTCTTTCACAGGAGCAATGGTTGTGTTCTAGAAAAATGAAAGCAACGGCTTGGCTGGTCTTCCTGAAAGTTCGATCATATAACATGTGATTTGCCATTACTTTTCTGGGGTGACATAATGATAAAATCTAACGAGTAAAAAAGAAGTATCAAAGAAGACAGCTACTCTTGCATTTTCTTACAGTCGGATGTAAATTTCCAGACCAATTAATTTTTAAAATTTTAAACACAGTAATATGGGTAAAAATCACCAACAATCCTGTACTTGGCATTTTCCTATTAGACCGGTTCCCTGAGTTAAAAAAAATGAAACTCAAGCTTATTCGGGAGTAGACCATTCAGTTTTACTAACCGAAGTACCATCCCAGTGGAAAACTTTAACCTCCTAAATAATTGAAGCCCATAACATTGTAACAAGTCTAAACGAAAACAGAAGATTAAAGCTGCAGAGAAACACTGTCAATTTATAAAACAATCTGGCTCAAATGGGAGCTGTAGCAATGATCAATCACAAATGAAGACATTTTTACTAAACAACATTTTCACAATCATCATTTCGTTACTTACATATTCAAGCTGTTAGTAATCAAATTAATACAATCATAGGCATCAGGACTGTCCATTCTTGGTCAGCAAGTGCTGGGGATGAAGAAGAATTAACACAAACTTTTACTGTTCTCGAAACATCTACTGACTTCTAGTATCAGTACAAATTCCTTGCACACTACTTCTATAGCAATAACCACTGCAGATTGAGAACCAAGCATGTCCACACGCCAGGCAAAAAATATATCAGCATATACTAGGTTACCAGATTAAGCAGTTATTGTAGGTCTGCTAGGTCTTTTTCCTTCCATGGCATCTTTCTTCCTCCGACAAGTTGCACAAAGGAAGGGGCCTTCCCATGGCTTTGATGCAGGTGAAAAGAAAGGGCCTGAGTTTACAGATAAGCCCTCACTTGCGGGCTGATCCGCTTGGCAAACAGCACATCTAAAGAGCCCAGAGCTAGAATCCAGAGGAAAATCTTTACCAAGCCTGTAGGGTCAGAAAAGAAATATAAAGTTAGGGTAACACTGCAGTGGGTACAAAGTCAGGAAAAAACAGAATTAATAAACTGAAAAATAACAAAGTTGTAATACAACGTTCATAACTATCCCTGTGGTCTACTGTAAAATGCTTTTTAACCTTATCTTCATGTGGATCCATCCATTTCCATTTTTCTATGATCTTATTCAGCAACAATAACAACATAATTCATGGAACAATATCAATGCAAAAGAACATCCTCATGGTAGTTCAATGTTAGTCTTATCTACACCCTCGTCATATCTAATTGCACATTTGCATCTTTCAGTTTCCAAATATTGAATTCAAAAAGTATTCCTGTCCAACAATTACAGTTCACTCATACCCCACACGAAAGATCTTTTCCTTCTACATTACAGCATAACTTACCTGCCTTCCCAGAATACTAAAGGACCATACATATTAGTTGTCATTTACCAAATGCTCCAGTATATGTGCAAAGAGTAGTGGATTGCTATCATCTATGATTCTAAAGTACTAAGATTTTAAAAGAGTAGTGGATTGCTATCATCTATGATTCTAAAGTACTAAGATTTTAAGTATCGTTTAGATAACCAGGATGAGGTCATCTACTAATTACGCCAACAAGATCAAGGGAGATTGTGAGAATAGAAGACCAGTAACATAACCATGCCATGGGTTTAGAACCAAGCATGTGTAGCTTCACGAATTTCTGAACTCTCTCCAGCAGTAAAGCAAACACAGACAAAGCAAAAGGTGCAGAAGTACTAGTAATTTTTCCTATTGATCCAATCTTTTGACAAGGTCACAGGGATAAGTGCCAAATTTTTAACACAGTACTGTGGACCAAAAAATATCATCCTTCACAAGTTATAATATCTAAAATTAATAACGTGCCTAGTTAAGTTCAAGTAACTTTAGTTTTTTTCTTGACAAACACACTTCTCTACTAATTAATCAATATAAGCAGAGAAGGAAAAGCAGGTAAAGTAAAACTTCCATCCAAAATATGGGTGAGATAATGGCATCCTTTTTATTTGTCATCTAACAAATAAATCCACATCCAAGAGAGCAAAAATCCATCACCACAAAGAAAAAATGATAGAGTCAAATAGATGTTAAAGAAAATAGATAAGGCATGAGGAGAGAGCTTCTGACAAAAAGATCAGTGTCTCCTCCAAATAGGTCATTTATAGGCAACCAAAGACTAGAGCTGCTGCATTTTACCTTTCACAACGATAAAAAAAATAATGTAGAGAACTTTTTCATCTGGTTTTGTAAAGTATGAATTATAAGTAGCTATTGGTATATGACAAGTAATTTTTCTCTTTCCAGGATAAAATTTTAAGAAGACAACCAACCTAACGCATGCCACATTCAGGAATTATATAGGAAATTTCTCATAAAGTAAAATTACTAACAATGATGCCAAAATCAAAAAAAAGCAGTACCTCTCAGCAAGCATCGCAGAGCCCTCTTCAAACAATTCTTCCACAACACCAACAGCAGAAAGCTTATTAGATCTTGCATTTTGTGATCTTCTCCCAAAGAGAAAAGAAGTGAGCAAATTTTGTTTCTTCCTAGGCGTTGGAGGCAAGACAGGATGGTCATAAGGAATAATATCAACAACCAAGCAGGTTGTATCATCCTTCAGACCTCGTGACCTTAGAGCCTCCTGAGTTGTAAACCCATTGAGAGTTAGAGGAAACCTCATGGATAAGAAAATTTTTGAATGAAGGAGATTTATAATCATCCACACCTTAACAACCAGCTTTGCGGCAAGTTCTGCTGGTAAACCTCTGCAAGACTGCGCTGCCGAATCCGATGATAAAGCATCCCATATACCATCAGAGGCTATTATAAGCCTCCCACCAGCATTTGAAATCTATGTACATATGTATTCTCTATTCAGATTTATAAACAAACGCATACATGGAACTTTGGTAGAAGACAAAAAAATGTTCAACGTTAAAGGTTACAAACCTTCACTTGCTTGACATGAGGTATTGGAACGATAAACTCCCCAACATCTGTATCACCAATAGACCTTGAAAGGCACAACCCACCAGGCCAGCAACGTAAAGGTCCAACCTATAAACCAAGTGAATTTCAACACCAGTATATCTTTTCTGAAGCTGTTAGCAAAAATTAAGAATACAATTTTACACAAGTTTCTGGTATGTTTTTACCTCGTTACCCCCAAAAACATTGAGCCTTCCTACTTCACCACCACTTGCAGTGACACGCTCCCGTTCCTCCTCATTCTCTTCTAATCGATGGTCAACAGTCAACAAAGAAACCACACCTCCTTGGGTATCCAATATGCACCTAGAATCACCAACTGATGCAACAGTAATTGTCCACCCATCGATAACAACAAACGTCACAGTAGTCCCAGATGTCTCACCTGTCAATAATATCAAAATTGAACTAAGAACACCTAAACGACTGAAGCAAGGGAAAGACACCCCTTGAAGCAAAAAGTTATCAAAGGCATAGAGCTAGGAGCATGCCTTTTTGCTGAAACTCTATATCAGTTTTCACAAAACCCGCAACTAGTGCTCGAGGAAGTGCTTGAAGCCACTCTTCCCTACTAATTCCTTGAGGAATAGCACTCAAAACATTGTTCAATAGATTCTCTTTCGCGAATATAGCAGCTGATATACCATTATGCCCATCAAAAATCTATTCAATAGAACCCAAAATTCAGCAAATTCATACAGCAAAAGTAACAATGTAGCTATACCACAAACAATTAACAGATTCAGTAAAACAAACAGTAATTAGATTACCGCGAAAACTGAAAAAGAGGTCAATGGATTTCCCGGAATCCTCTGACAATCAGGCTTAATTAAGAAATAATCTTCCCCTTTTTTTGCTAATGCAGCTTGTCCATACTTCAATGTTGGCTGCTCCACTTTATCATTATTCCTCAACTCCCGACCAATTAGTGTCCCTAACGGTACCGGAGTTGTCTTTTGCTTCATCCTCGTAATCTCCGCCTCACTCATTTTTCTACTCCCTGCTCCGACATTTTTGCAATTCCTAATTCCCCAATTCGAAATAAACCAAAAAATCAAAATCACTCGTTATCTCACAATTTAGCAGCAATGTAGCACTAAAAATTACTACTACTAAATATGAAAATGGGCTTAAAAATCACAAAAATAACAAAAATAGTGAAATATAGTTTGAAACCCTATAGAGACTTACAGAGAAGAAACGGAAAGGGGATCAAATGGAGAAAATAGACAAAGAAATGGTAAGCATTGGAAGAAGAATTCAGAAGCATAAAAGGAAATGGATTTGGTTGGGTTATGAGCTGGATCCGAATTGTTGAAAACGAAACCCTAGATGAGAGGGATGTGTGTGATTTGATTGGGGCAGAAAAATCTAGAGAGAGAAAGAGAGAGGCTAACGCGGGGAGAAAAAAAAAGGTGGGTTTTCGGGCAAAGGCTCCGATTCTGACATTTGTTTTTTTCTGTAATAATATTTTTATACGAAAGAGAAAGAAAGTGCAATTTGATGATATAACAAATCCACATAAACAGCTAATAAAGGGGATTTCTTAAAAGTCGTTCTCATTATGGTAGTAAACCACAATTTCTAAATGTATGATTGCGCTTGTGGTTTCTTTTGTGTAAATGTATTTTTTTTTCTCATCCGGTGTTTGATATTCGCATCGGAGCCGACTATACTTGAATTCGCGCCGGTAGAGTACCATTTGGGGGAAAGCGTTCTCTACCAAGAATTTTTTCATACCTAGGGCTTGAACTCGAGACCTCTAGTCAAGGGGGGAGCAACCACATCCGCTGCACCACATCTTTTGGTGGTTGTGTAAATTCATTTAATGACACTTCTAAATATTTACTTTAATCAAAAACGCTATTTTTAAAAAAATTTGTTACTCTCTTTGAGTAAGTTTAAAATCTTTATATATAAAATTCCGGTTAACATGAAAGTTGCCACAATTTTAGCTAAATATTCTCAAAAGGCAATGTACTAGAAGTATGGGATAGGAAACAATCGAGTATTCTTTTAATCTTTTTTTACATCATATCTCCTGGTTGAAAAATAAAATAGTCCTACTTGTTTGAGGCAGAAATCAAAAGCAAGACGTCTAAACATGTCATGTACTTTTGTCCACTACATACTACAATTTTATTTTGGATCTAATTAAAATATATGCACAATAATGTGATTTTTTTAAAGGAGAATTAACCTAAATAGCTGCTCACTCAACAGCATAAACTAAAAATAGCCGGTAGAGGTATAATGTATACATAATTTATGTATTATAGAGTATAATTATGTATAATGAATGTACAATTTATGTATGTGGTTAGAAAAAGTAAACAATGAATATGACCGGCTATTTGTGTAACGATCCCTTCTTTTTTTTTTACAACACACTGTTATTGAACATAAGGCTGTTCATTCGGATCGGATATCCGAAATCCGAACCGATCCATTCAATTTCGGATTTCGGATATCGGATTGGATCGAATTTTATTAAAATTTCAGATTTCGGATCGGATTCGGATTGGTATATTTTAATCCAATCCGATCCGAAATCTGAAATATTAGGGCATGTATAAATACTACACATTAATTTCGGATAGCCAGTACCTCTGTTTTAAAAGGCAGAATTGGGACTCGCCCGGGGCTCGCCCCCGGGCGGAGCACTCGTAAAACGCCCCTGGGCTTATGTGTGGGGCTTAGTTCCGTGAGACTTACGCCTCGGCCATCGGGGCTTACTCCCCGGACACGCCCAGCGTACTAGGCTCGCCTCATAGAACTTTATACAATTGTATGTAACTAACCTTGTAAATCCTCAAAATTTCTTAATAAACCGTTGACTATTCAAAAGTATTTCTTAATCATAAATCATCAAGTTGAGAGTATTTTATGTCATTATTAAAGTAACAATTATTGCACGTTATCCACTAAGACTGCTATGATAGTTAATTTTAAATAAATCTTTCATTTAAAAAGTATTTATATTAACTTTTGTTATGTCTTTACTATATAATAATCCATAATTTTTTTATAATTATTTTTCCAAATATTTTTTTACATTTACGAGATACAATACTTATTAATTTAATAGCTCAGTATTAGCTAGTAACTATCTACAAATAATTAGTTATCATGGTATTGTATGGTGAATTATATGTCACTTTATTAACTTGTTGAAACTTAAAAGTAAAAGATGCTAGAGAATCATATTTAAATTGTGAATTATATTTTTATATACATACTCTTCAAATAGAAAGCATATTAAATAAAAGGAGTATTTTAAGAAAAATATCAAATTGTAATATCGAAATTCTTTCAAGATTCATTACTCCTTAAGAGATACATATTAGATTTCGTATCAAATACATTACTTTTGATGTTTGAGTTGTAACGACATTGCAGCTAATTTGCATATTATGATATATGTCATACTTTTCGTATTATTCATAGTTGAATTATAAATTATAAATATTTTAAATAGATTATTTGTTATAATTTTGTGATTTTAATGTAATTTTTATAATTATTTTTTATTTTATATTATTTTAAAATTTTTAAAATTAGTAAAATTTAAAGATCCGTGGGACTTACGCCCTATGTCTCAGGGCTTACGCCTCGCCTCGTCAGAGGTAAAACGCCTCGCCTCACGCCCCCACCTTTTAAAACATTGGCCAGTACTTCCCTTACATCTTCATCTAAGCCAATACCTTTACAATTGCTGGATTTAGTTATATTGGCACCATAGTACTCTCATAATTGCATAAACATGAATTTTTCTTAATGTATTGCCTCTTTTACAAAGAAAATATACATATTAGTTTGCAACTTTGAGGCATAATAATACGATCCGAAATCCGATCCGATCCAAACTTTAAAATCCGATTCGATCCGATATAATTCGGATCGGATTCGGATTGCATTTTCTAGAATTTGAAATCCGAAATCCGAATCCAAAATGTGCTAAATCCGATCCGATCCGTGCACAACCCTAATTGAACATACTATAAGCATTGTCTACTTTGATTTCAAATTGTCAATTTTATTTATAACTATTGATAGTTACGTGTAATTATTTTTAGATAATTTAAAATTTTGAAAAGTCAAACTCAATTAATTTTGCAAGGTATTTTCAGAAGGGTGACGAGCATCATTTGTATCGATGCCCACATTGGACCATTCCCCATTCCCATAGGAAAATGGTGTGTTTGGTTGGCGAAAATTAGGTAAGTTAAAGATAAACAAATGAAGAAATCAATCTTAGACAATAGGAAGCCAACTGGAAATCTGGAATATATAATGTGAATCCAGAATGCAAACAGATAATATAAGATTAGTTTAAGAAACTTAAAAATTAAAGAACAGTAAGAGACATCCAACCGGCCAAGGCATTCTTTAATCTAATCTGCCCATTAATCTGTAATTACAAGGCTCTTACTTCAAGGCTTCAATTATGTTTTAAAAGGCAGAATTGGGACTCGTTCGGGACTCGCCCCGGGGCGGAGCACTCGTAAAACGTCCCTGGGCTTATATGTGGGGCTTAGTTCCATAAGACTTACGCCTCGGCCATCGGGTCTTACGCCCCGGACACGCCCAACGCCCAGCGTACTGGGCTCGCCTAATAGAACTTTATGCAATTGTTTGTAACTAACCTTGTAAATCCTCAAATTTTCTTAATAAATCGTTGACTATTCAAAATTACTTTTTATCTTCATCATAAATCATTAAGTTGAGAGTATTTTATGTCATAAGTAAAATAAAAATTATTGCACGTTATCCATTAAGACTGCTATGATAGTAAACTAAAAATAAATCTTTCATTTAAAAAGTGTTTATTTATTAACTTTTGTTATGTCTTTATTGAATAATAGTCCATAATATTTTTATAGTTATTTTCCTAAATATTAGTTTTTCACGTTTACGAGAAGCAATACTTATTAATTTAATAGCTCAGTATTAGCTAGCACAACTATTTACAAATAACTAGTTATCATGGTATAGTATGGTGAATTATGTGTCACTTTATTAACTTGTTGAAACTTAAAAATAAATGATGCTAGACAATCATATTTAAATTGTGAATTATATTTTTATATAAATTCTCTTTCAAATTAAAAGCATATTTTATAAAAGGAGTATTTTAAAAAAATATCAAATTATAATATCGAAATTATTTTAAGATTCATTACTCATTAAGAGATACATATAAGATTTTGTATCGAATACATTACTTTTGTTGTTTAAGTTGTACGACGTTGCAGCTACTTTGCGTATTATGATATATATCATACTTTACGTATTATTCATAGTCGAATTTTAATTTATAAGTATTTTAATTAGATTAGTTGTTATAATTTTGTGATCTAATGTAATTTTTATAACTATTTTTTATTTTATACTATCTTAAATTTCTTGAAATTAGTAAAAGTTAAAGATCCGTGGGACTTACGCCCCATGTCTCAAAGCTTGCGCCTCACCTCGTCAGAGGTAAAACGCCTCGCCTCACGCCCCCGCCTTTTAAAACATTGGTCGAAACACAAGTAACTATTCCCTCCAGCCCACTTTAATTGATTTTTTGGACTTTTTTTGTCGCAATATTTGATTTTTTTCAAATATCAAGAAGGAAATAATTTCTCTTTTCTAAGATGCCCTTGGAGTAAATAGCCTGACAGTATTTATTGTATTTTCAATGAACAAATTAAGGTTAATATGGTCAATTTCATTGTTAACTAATGCTAAAAGATATATTCTTTAATTAGTATATGGGAAACAGCAAAAAAAATCAATTAAAGTGAAAAGGAGGGAATAGTAATTGTTAAAAAGCAAAAGGACATGATGATTGAGCATGTGGTTTGTGTTATCTAACAAAGGAATTAAGGACTGATCCCACCGAGATCATAACGTCAACTATCCAATTGCATTTAATTTAACTGAGAAATTTATACCAGTAGAATCACTAGATATTAATTATCGTCAAACACGCTTACAAATATCTTTCTCTTTAGTTGCCTAGATTAGTATCAATTACAAGTCATGTATTATCTTATTAGCAATTCATTTTACAGGTGGCAGACATTTTTTTATTATTTTGTCTCCCCGAGAAGCCAAACTCTCCTTATTTTCTTATTCAAGTTCTTTTTTGTTGTCTAACTCTTTTTTCTTTTATTGGTATTTTGTTTGTATGTCTTGCTACCTTAGAATAATTAGTGAATGTTAGAGCAAAAAGATAAAAGGTATTTTATGAATGTCTTGGAGCCCGTTAGGACATAAGAATTTTTTTTTTCAATTTTTTTTTTTTAAAACAGTGTTTGGTTACCCAAATCTTATAATTTTTTCAATCTCACTTGAAAATGCATTTTCAAATTTAAAAAACTGGTGAGGACCAATTTTTGTTAGAAGAACAAGAGAATGAAGATGCAATTGAGAGAATTTTTCTGTATATTGACTGATGATGAAAA